TAGTTTCATTAATTTGTCTTCCAAGGTACTTCTTAGAAGTTGTCAAATTTATTTCAAAAAAGATTTTTGTAATATGCTTTCTGTATCCTTTTAAATTCTGAAAAATCTGTGATAATGTCTCCTAGATCTTGATATTGTAATTTAAAAAATGTGTAACTGATATTGTGTGACAGGAAGAAAAGGTCTAAAAGAGCAGGGGAATTGGGAGGGGTAGGGGAAGGGGAAAAAGGGAAAGGAAACAATCTGAGAAGAGGAAAAAAAATGGAAACAAGGTCTTTGGAAATAGGGAAGGGTGGAGGGGGTGAAGGGAGGGCAAGGGAAGGGGAGAAAAAATAAGAACCAAGGGACTCATGTAAAGGTACAAGATCCCAATGTTGAATGTAACTGTATTGTATTCCGAAAATGTACCAATAAACTTAATGGGGGGAAAAAAAAAAGAAAAAAAAAGAAAAATCTGTCCCTTTCCAGGTCGTTTTGATCTTGGGGAGGAGCTAGAAGTCACACGGTGCCCATTGGTGATAGGGAGGATGAGGACAGCTTCCCACGTGCCCAGGACAGGAGCAGTGGCTGGGTCGGATGGCCACACAGGGACCGCTGGAGCAGGACAGGGCTCTGCCTCAGGCCCAAGGCCCCCTTACCTGTGAAAGGGAGGTCGGGTGGATGGCCGAGCTGAGGGACCAGGGCCTGCTGCTCACCTTCCTCTGGTGGGGAGGAGAGAGATGGGCTTGGCCGGGGAGCCAGGCTGTGGGAGGCAGGCAGGGCCCAGGCTCGGGACGTGAAGGGTGGGGACATGGTCGGCCGTTCCCTTCATCTCCTGCAGCCCCGCCTGGAGCGAGAGAAGTGCATTTCACATGATGTGGACCTGTATTTAATTATTAGGATTTATCACCGGCAAGCACATAAAGCAGTCGCAGGACAGGACATTCCTTCGTCCCCAGCCCCCAGCTGTCTGCAGAGCCCCCGCCGCATCCTGACCCCCTCTCACTGTCACCAGAGCGGTTATTTATGACAGCCATGGGGGCGGCACAGTCCCTCGAAGCCAGCAGCGAGTTCAAGGACCGGTCACAAGGCCTCAGGGAGATGGCCGTGGCCATCAGAGCTGCCAGCACTGGGGAGAAGAGGGCCCGGTGTCCCAGGGGCCTTGCCACTGGTCTGAGGGGGTCCCGTGGTAGAAAGCCGAGCTGGCGACACTCCTGTACCTTCTCCTTTAGGAAAAAAAGTGATGACCATGGAATGCACATCACTTAAAATATGTAACAGCATGCTATTCAGTATTAGCTGTAAATGAGTATATGCTGAGCAAATTGAAGGATACCATTTTTGTAAAACTGTTCGCATAAATAATAAATACTATTGATGAGGGAAAAAATGTGCTGAGCCACATAGCCTCACAGTTACCATTTCAAGTGTTCAATATGGTTCAGTGGCTTTTAAATGCGGTCACCAGTAGCCACCCCAACTTCTCATGGTAGAACTGAAATTCCCTACTGAACACCACCTGCCCTCGCTCACTCAGCTTATTATAATGTCCCCAAAGCTCAGCCACAGTGTGGCCTGTGTCCACATTTCCTTCTTTACTTTCTTTCATTTTTTTTCTTTCCTTTGTGGTGTGTGTGTGTGTGTGTGTGTGTGTGTGTGTGTGTGTGTGTGAAGCTAGAGAATGAATGAACGCAGGCCCTTCACAATGAGCCACCTTCCCAGACCTTTTTTATTTTTTATTTTGAGACAGGGTCTTGCTAAGTTCCTAAGTAGCCCAGGTGGGGCTTAAACTTGCAGGCTTTCTGCCTCAGCCTTCTGGAGTGCTAAGGATTAAAGGCGTGTGCGACCACATCTGGTAAGAACCATTATTAATATATCATTTGTTCTTTAGTGCTATTAATATATTAGAGGTTTTACAATAAAAGAAATTTAACGTATGAAAGATACATAATCTAGTCCAACATTAATGGAGAAAGCCCTTGCAAAGAAATTTAGAAACTTTGTTTTCCACACAAAGGGTAATAACTGGCATACCCTTCCTTGTCTCAGGTTAGACAGCTGAGACAAGGAGGCTGGTGACCCGCCCAGGTGCAGGTAGAGAGTCGGGTAATGCAGCATGCTGAAAAGAGAGTACAGCCAGTGGGGTAACAGGAGGCGCCAGGGATGCTTAGGTCAACACAGGATCAAGCACTTTTCAACGATGCATACTGACACAAACCAGCCCAGCCCTGTGTGGCTCTTTGTGTATCCAGATGGCCACATGCGGTCCTCAAGACACCACTGAATTCAGTGACCTCCAGTTACTGTGAAGACTGTCACGGGGTACTTGGGACTCTGCTTCCTTTGTGGTGGGGGTTTAAATGAGTGGAAAGACTAGACCGTTGTGCAGTGGAGGGGAACTTGCTGTAGCCAAAGACCTGAGATCGTGTCTCCCCTAAAGACCCCGCATGTCGGTTTGCATGGCAGTAAGAGAATAATTCTAGAAGAGAAGACACCAGATGCCCACCATCCAGGACCACAATCTGTCCCCTGGTCAGTCCATGTGTCATGCCCGGAGCCCTGCACAGAGTCTCCTCCAAAGGCCAGGGAAGGGCTGGTGGCTGTCGAGGCTGTCTGTGAGGATTTATTTGATGTCTCTCACCATGCAAGGGAATTATTTCTCCTCCTCACCACTCCACACTTCCGGTATGACTTCCCATCTTACACTCGAGGGAACTGAGACTCACAGAATCTCGAGGAGGCTGGACAGAGCTTGTACCTGCCTACTGAGCCCTGCTGTTCCATCTTTAGCACTGTGTGTGGTTACCTCTTTGATTGAGAGAACTTTCACTTGTTTATTTAGCTTCCGAAATCTGTGTCCCTCACACTGTCTGTGTGCCTGGATGGGCCCTCTACACACCCAGAACTCCACAATGGCTCAGGAGTGTGGATGAGTGGTGGTTTTTCCCCAGCCATCCCACGCCAGGCAAAGAGAGGCCAGAGGGCAGGGCCCTCCTGCAGTTGTCTTCTGTACAGGCCACTGAAGGGGGTCATTTCGGGACTGAAAGCGCTTGGTGGTTAGGGTTTTTAGAACTAGCAGAAGCTCGTGGACTCTGAGTAGCCAGGTCAAGGCCATGCGGACTTGAGAGACTGATCCATGGTACAGTCTGGGTCTTTAGTGTCCTCCAGAAGCTCACATGCTGCAGGCTTGGTCTCCCATGCAGTGGTGTTGGGCGAGGGGGTCTCAGGAAGAGGACTGGATCACGTAGGCTCTGACCTCACCAACGGGTTCCCCCATTGGTGGATTCGTGACTTAGTGGGCTGTTGGGAGGCTGTGGAGCCATACGGAGGTGGGACCTATCGGGAGGAAGTTGGTCACTGGGGGCTGGCCTTGAGGGCATATTCAATCCATGCCCCTTCCCCTCTCTCTTTGCTTCCTGGCCACCATGACATGTGTGACCTCGCTCTTCCCTCCGCCCCCTGACATGCCTTTCTGTCTCACCTCAGGCCCTGAAGCAGTGGAGCCAGGGGTCCATGGACTGAAGCCATGGGCCAACAGGAACCTCTCCTCATTTAAGTTGATTTGCCCAAGTCGTTTGTCACAGCAGTGGAAAAATGACATGTGCTCACCAGCAGCACAGGCTGTCCTAGAAATACCAGCTGATTCCGGCCGCCAAGGAAAAAAAAGACAAATATTGGAAACGAGGGCACAAAATATTATTTTAACACTGCCACATACTATGTCTGCTCAAAAGCTTTAAGAAGATCTAGTAAAGGTTAACTGACTAAGAGAATTCAGTGTGGTTGGTTACAACATAAATATTTGGAAATCCAAAGCTTTTGCTACATCAGCCATCATTAACAAGAGAACATCAGTTTTAAAAAGTACTCTTATCTATAACTGTAAAAAAGCATAAAACACCTACACTTAGACCTACGATTTACAGAAGGATATAAAGTAAATACTTTGATGAATAGGTCAGTGATATCATAATCCAGGATTTTGAAAAGTCAACACTACAGAATGAGCCAACAGTAAAGATTTTTCAGTTTTATGAGCCAAGGTCTGTGCCTTTACAATATGAGCACAGCCAGAGCTACACGTTGGAATGAAAGGGCGAGACTGTGTTCCAACACTCAGAGGGCCAGTCTGGCTGAGGGACAGTTTGCCAACCCCTGCTACAAATGACTATCTTTTTCCTCTGGCATAAAAAGCTATAATAAGCATTATGCTTCTTCTAAATTATCATCTCTTTTGGAATATTTCCTGAGGATAAATTATTGAAATTTGAATTACAGGGCCAAAAAGTATGGAGTACATTTATGGCTTGGGACACCTACTGTCACTTTACACTCTAAAACGCCACCGTGATATGCCACTCATGAGGATGACCACCTGACACTACCACCAGAATTGAAGATATTGCTTTAAAATTATTGAATTAGGGTGGGGAATGTAGTTCAGGGATAGACTGTTTGCCTAATACTGTGGATTCTGGTTTGATCCCAGCACAGAAAAGGAAGAGGAAGAAGAGGGAGGAGGAAAAGGAAGAAGAAGGAGGAAAAGGAGGACAGCTAGGGACAGGAGGAGGAGGAGGAAGAACAACTGTTGAAGTAATCTTTTGAAATCTTTCAAAGAGAACTTCTTTGATAATTATGAGGTGAAATTCTTTTTTCTTTTTTGGAATTATCAGGCTATATACTTTGCACCTCTCTTTATCGATGTTGAAGCGGAGCTTTATTTTTGTTTGTCTGTTTACAGGCAGTAGTGTCTTTGCTCAGTTCCCCAAGCTGATTTTGAACTCTTAGTTTCAAGTGATCCTCCTGCCTCAGCCTCCCTGGTAGCTGGAATTACGGGTCTGCACCACAGCACCCAGGGGGTAGAAGCACTGAGAAAGAGTGCTAGGGCCTGCTTGTCAGCATCTGCTGTCGCATCCATCCGGGGGGCTTCTCAGCCTCACATGGCTTTGTTCTTTTGCTCTTAGTCACATTTTCATTACTGTAACTAAGTACCTGGGTCAGGCCAGCTTCCTAATGAAGAGAGGTTCTTTAGCTCAGCGTCCTTGAGGTCCAAGGGCACAGAGCCGCCATCACCACTGCTGGGACCCAGGCTTTCTTGCTGCCAGGTCCCAGGCAGGGCCTGGGATGGAGAGTGAGTGCGTCTATGCGTGTCACTGACCTCCATCGCTCTTCTCACAAAGCTCCAGAATTCCATCGTGGGGTCCCCCACATCCTCACCTGAAGTTGGTCCCCTCCAAAGGCCGCGCCCTGAAACACTGCGGTTGGGTAAATTCCTGCTCTCAAGTCCATCAACAGGACTTGGGGATTGGATTCTTTTTCAGGGGAAAGGGATGCTCTGTACTCACAATGCGGGCGTGTGCTATTTCAAGACAATCTTACTAGGCTTAAAGGATGCTCCTTCAGGATTTTAATTTAGCCGAGATGCGGAGTTGTAGTTTAGAGGCTGTGAAGTTTATGAACATCACTGAAGTTAGGGTCTCCCAAGCAATGTTCCCGGGAGGCTAAGGCAGGAGAATCGCCATGAGTTTGAGGCCAGCCTGGGTTACATAGGGAGACCCTGTCTCAAACCACCCCCGCCTCACCAAAAAAGCCCAAGCCGATCTGAAGCCTGGCTCAACTTTAAATGCATCACCCGAAGGCTGCCTTAACAGGAACCCTCGGGTGACAGGAATGGTTCTGCTCCTCATTCCACTCTCACTTGACCAGGCCGAACGAATGGGTGCCTGGCGGTAACTTCAAGTCGGAGTTCTGCTGCCCAGAACACCTCACGTGCCCTGGATGCATCAAACCGATTGTAAATTGTGAGGCTATGGCCAGAAACCTCACGGTCCTGCACCCCGGGAAGTGTCAGCCCCTGGCGGCAAGCTGAGGGGAGGATCTTAGCAGTCAGGTGGTTGGCGCAGCTGTTTTCTCTCGGGTTTGTTTCTCTGAGCTGAATTGCATGGAAGCCGGGAAAGGGGCTCTGGGTGTCTCTCCTCAGAGTCTCGGCCAACAGCACCCAGTGAGGGCACAAGGAGTCGTCACAGACACCCGTGAGAGACTTTTACTGATATTCCCATCCCACGGAGAGGAAACTGAGGCACGGAAGATGGATTCATCATCGTCACAGGAGCGCAGCATGAGCAAGGGTGCCCCTGGGGTCCCGGGGCTGCATGTGAAGCCCTCCCAGCCCTGGATGTCAGCACCCTGTCCTGCCCTCCCCCAGTCTTTGTGTGTGGCCCCCACTGAGCACTGAGCCTGGAGAGTGGCAGCCCCACGTGAAGCCCCGCTCCAGACACTGCCCCATCAACACGGGGCCAGAGCCTCAGGCCAGGGCTGGCAGCCTGGCGAGCTCCAGTGGAAGAGGAGGCCGCGCCCGCACATCCTCGGCACACCTGCCTGCAAGACAGGAAGAAAACCCCACTGAGTAGAGCCGGAGCAGCCTGAACAGCCTTGGGCTGAGGACAGCTCCCTACTCTGCGCGTCTCACTGGCGTTACTGAAACCCACCTCTGCACCAGGGAGCTTTCTGGGCCATGGTCACCGGCCTTCCACCCGAGCCTGTGTCTCTCCTCCCTGTGTTCTCAGCCCCTGCTCCGTAACTGAGGCCGCCGTGCTCCTCTCCGTCCGCGGTGCGTTCACAGGGATTCTTGCCTGCAGTTGTCGCATTGTAGGGTCCCCAGCACCGGGGCGCTGCTGAGGCTGAGATAAGAACCCCCGGCTCTGGGACAGCTACACTGGGGTGGGAGGCGACGCCTGGCTCTACTGCAGCCCACCTTCCCCTGTTCTTTTTCCTATTCTTCGCCACATTCCGATTGCTTCCTCCTCACTGTGGGGAACCTGCTGTCCGCCCAAGAGGCCATGGCTTCAGGCTGCTATGCACAGGTTCATGCTGTCTCTTCGGCCTTTTATTTTACTGTCTTTTTCTTCCCCTTTACACCTTTGTAGTGTTTTCACGTTCTTCCAACCTGAGGGTCCACCTCGATCCTCTGGGGCCCTCTGACCCCAGACCACACTGCAAGAGCCGGAGGCCCCTGGTCCCTAACTTCCTGGACCCAGCCCCTCTTCTTCCGTTTCCGAAAATATCCCAGGGAGGGGCTTCCCTCCAGGCCTGCGGGAGGCCTTCAGTGCCTCAGGGATCTCTTGTGCCTGCAGTTTCTCTGAGGGCAGACTTCAAAAGGATTTTGCCTGACAATGTTCGAGGTTTTGTTCCTTGCCTTCTATCATGAAAACTGACACTGCCCATCTGGTGGTAGTAATGTTCTTCATAATTATGAGTGACTTTTCTCTCCCTGGAAGATTTTACCACCTTTGGCTCACTCGCATTGTTCTGAAATCACACTACAAAGTGTTGTGTACCAGTTAGTTAGGCTTCCACATGGGGACACCTGAAGCAGCGCCTGGGTATTCCAGGTGTTGGTGATGGTTGCTGGTGAGGCCGTGGTGCTGATGGTGGTAGTGGTGATGGAGAGAGGAAATACCAAACCACTCATTAGCTCTTAAAACTTCTACCCAGAAGCAACCCACACCATTTCTGCCCAGCTTTTTAAGGTCAGGACAGGTAAGTGGAGGCAACATCTGACCTCCAGTGAAGTGGACTGAGAGTGACCTCCCTGAACCAGGAGGAGAGAAGGTGGTGAATGCCGCCCCCCAGCAGGTGATCCCGCTGACTGCACTCACTGCAGAAATGTGCACCTCTGCCCCTGTGTTCCCGGAAGCAGTGGTCTCCTGCTCCGTTCTACTGCCCGCCTGCACTACCTGCTTGCCTGCCTCATGAGGACCAGGATGGGACTTCGGCTGCGCTACTCACTGAGCTCCCTGTGCAGCTGTCTGGCCCGGGCCTTGGCTGTGGGCTGAGGTGGTGCAGAAGGACTAATCACCTCCCTAGGGAAGAAGACGAATCCACTGTACACACATCTTCCCCAACTCCGGGACACATCCCAGCCCCGCAGATAGCACCAAGCCCTACATATGTGCGGCTTTTATTCTATACATGCAAGGTGTGATCAAAAAATGGGCCGTGTGTTTAAATCTTAAAATGTATTTAGCTCAGTGGTGCCACCACCTGCCTCGCAAGCAGAAGGTCCTGGATTCAATCCCCGGTACCAAAAAAAAAAAAGTATTACAGGAAAAGACACATTGCCATGAACCCTTCTAACTCCTCCCCAGCCTTCGAACACATCCACCTCATCATCCTTACCACTTTCGGAAGCAGGTCTCAAGTCCTCTTTCCTGAGTGTCTTTAGTTGCATGGTCACAGCTGTCTCAACTGACTCAAAACGTTTCCCTTTCACGGTCACGGTGACTTTGAGGAAGAGCAGAAGTCACGTTGTAAGACCAAGGGCCTTACCAAACGCTCCAAGGAGCTGACTGCAGCGAAGAACACCTGGGAAGGAACACACCGGACAAGTTGGAAAGTAAAACAGACCTTAGTCTGGCCAGATGGCACTCCCTAAGCAAAGTAGCTTAGAGAGGCGACTGGGCCAGAGTCCGAGGCTCTTTTATAGGGGGTTGCAGGGGAAGTTAACAGGTGAAATTTACAGAAGAGGAACAAAGGTTAGTGGTCAGCTGACATGTACTGATGGTCAGCAGATGTTTGTAGATTGTTCTATAAACATCAGTTTTTGAACAAAGAGTTGAGTAATTTACTTTGGGACCTTATGGCTGATATAGATCCTATCTAGTGTCCTGGAGCTAACAAGCATCTTTATTTATTTACTCACATTCAGTCACAGTTGGGGCTAGGGGAGTTTTATGATTACAACGTGGTGAAGAGGACAAGGACACAGCATCCCATTTTCACGAGCTGCCTTTCTGTTGGGGGGCGCTTGGCAACATCCTTCACTGTACTTTCGATCACCCAGTACAAATCTATGGTAAAGTTTAATGTACAAATTAGGCACAGCAAGAGATTAACAACAACTAATAATAAAATAGGGAACAATTATAATGATATACTGTGATCAAAGTTGAGTGGGTGTGGCCTCTCTGCCTCTCCCTCTTTCTCGATATTCCACTAAATATTTTCAGACCACGGTGACCAGTGTAACTGGACATGTAGACAGTGGGGTCCTTGCCCACCAGCACGCTTCCAGGAAGGCCCCCCAGGGCCGGCTGCCTTCTCCTCCGTGCTAGAGGAAGATGCGGAGACTCCCAGGGTAGGGCCCTCAGCTTGAGGTCTCCGCTGGGGTGTCGAGGTCTCTCTCTCAATGTCCTCCTGTACTCCAAAGGTCAGCAACAGGGGTCCAACCAGTCTCCTCCAGGGGGCTTCTAGAATCTTTGAACACATTCGGTCTGAATCCTACTGTCTTACTCATTTTCTTGGCACTGGGACAAAGTACCCCAAACCCATGACTCAAATGAGGAGAGGTTTGTTCTGGTTCATAGCTTTTAGGGGATTCAGCCCACAGTCAGTTGGCTCCAAGGCAGAAAGGGAATGGCAGAAGGGCCCGGCGCGGGGGTGGAGGGAGCTGCTCACCTCAAGGCGACCAGGAAGAGAGAAAAAGGAAGAGCTGGGGACGGGCTGAAAAGGAAGAGCCAGGCTGCGCCCCAGTGACCGCCTCTTCCGGCCAGGCCCCGCCTCCTCACAGCAAGTCCACTGTGGGCTCATCGATGCGTGAATCTGCAGGGTGAGTATGGCACCCCGTGATTCAATCACCTTACAGAAGCCCCAGCTCCAAACAGATGAGGCTTCCGGGAGACCATCTCTATCATCAACTCCAGCGTGCAAACTCCCGAAGCATCACAGGGTTCTCATAGGCACGAAATGTAAAACCCTCTCCTATGTCTGCGACCCACCTCTCGGAGTCTAAAACGATGGCTCTGGGTTGGCAGGAGAGGACTCTGGTGCCAAGGACCCAGACAGGACGACTGCAGTCACCCTGGCAGGAAGTCATGAGAGTGGACCACAGGACAGAGCAAGAAGTGGCCAAGGAGAATGGCAAGAGGGTGGAATTTCACGGCCCTCCCTGCCGTACGTGAAAAAATCACAACTTCGTAAAATATCTACGAAGAGAAATGGAAGGTAATACAATATGAAAAGCCTCTCTGGTGAAGCCTTTCCGTTGGTTCTTCCACGTGATTAGAAGATAAAGAGGGGAAATGGCTCGTAGGGGTTAAGGACAGGACCGTGAGGGAGGCTGGGCCCCTGGTCTCAGGCGGCCGGGAGAAGCTCTTTACAGTTCTCAGCTGAGGGATCTGGCTCCAAGTTTTCTGGCTCGTAAAGCCAGAGGAGACCCCGGGTTATGGAGATTTAGATTTTTGACAACAGAGAACAGATGCCTCCAAGTGCAGAGACCACATATTTCCTGAAACGGAACTCACAGAGGAATTTATAGCGCGGCTCCTTGTAGTAGACAATAAATTCCACTCCAGTTTTACATGAAATATTATTGAAGTTCTGAGCACAGAGCCCCGTATGTGCAGGGGATCCGCCAGGAGCTCTGCTCCATGGGGTCCTGGGTGGGCGTCTCGGCTCCGTGATGTCTCGAGGGCCAGGAAGGACGGTCCCCGTGCACCCCACTCCTACCCAGGTGGGACAGCCCACGTCTGCTCCAAGGCGTGCCTCGTTCACTGCGTGGAGAAGCTGAGCTTTTTCTAAGGCAGTGGAAGCCACGGAACCACGTTCATTAGAGAAGAGGCAAGCCACCAAGAGGACAGCATGGCCAGGGCCTGGGGAGGGCGGAGAGGTACGGAGGCTGGAGCAGGATGGGAAGTCAGGTCCCAGGGCAGGGAGGGGCGGCTAGGGAAGGGTCGGGGTGCGGTCCATGCAGAGGAGCGAGTTGAAGGCTGTTCATCGGGAGGGGTGGGGAGCAGGTGCACCCGCCCGAGGCCCGGACTCGGCCTGGGGCTGGCTGATGGCTGCGGGGTGACAGCTGCTGTGCTAGACTGAGCCTCCCCAGACACCCCTGAAGAGTGAGGTGAGTGGGCACCCTGGGCCCAGCCCTGGGGAAGTAAGAGCCAACTGGGGAGCCCTGCCAAGGCTGGGGTCCCCAGGTCAAGGAAGACCTGAGTCGGGAGCAGGGAGCAAGCTCCAGGCGGCTCAGGCCAGGACCGGAAAGTGGGGGTGTCCTCTTAGGGTTTATATGCCAGGTCCCTCGAAGTCTCACGTGCTCATAGGCGGGGCTCTGCGGGGAGAGTGGACGGGGCTGTCAGCTGGCTGCTGTGAGGAAGCACAGCCTGGTGGGAGGAGGGGGCCACTGGGGTGTGGCCTGGATGGGTCACCCCCGTCCAGCTCCTCCCTTCTCTGCTTCCTGTCCACCATGTGGTGAGCTCCTCTCTTCCGCCAGTCCCTCTGCCCCCCACCCTGCCTTGGAGCCACCGACCATGGACTCAACCCTCCACACACTGTGAGCTGAATAAACCTCTCCTCCTTTGAGTTCTGGGTGTCGGGTACTGTGTCTCAGCGACAAGGAAGGTGACGAAAACACATCCCCCAAGGCGAGACAGACAGACCTGTTACCAGATCTAGATGGAGCAAGGCTTGTGGCATTGCATGGCAGCTGACTGGGCCTCTGGGCCTTCTGGAAACAGGGGATCCCCGCCACATCGTCCAGAACCCCACACCTCCCCTCTCCCAGCCTGCCCATGCAGCCTTTCCATCCTCCAAGGACTCACTGCACCAAATATTTTGAAAAGCAGGAAGTGATACTAATTCATTCGTTCTTTGAAATGGCTCATGAAAAACATTCTCGGGCTGGGGTAGAGCTGGGGTAGAGCACTTACTTGCCTAGCACACCGACAGCCTGAGTTCCATCCCAGCGCTGCAGAAAACAAAACAAAAGAAAATAAAAATATTCTAATGGCTACATTTTTTTATGATTTCACTTAAAAAGAAATAATAGGGTGTTAAAATCTTTGAAATTTGAAATGAAGGGGGAAATCATGTCCTCAAACTCAGATGATAAAATTTTGTTTTTCTATTTATGAGCTTTCTGTAAAGGGGCACACTAAAAATATCCAGAGAAAATTCTCTAGGAAAGAGATTCCAATCCTCTCCCTAGTTTGTTTTTTAAATAAGGACCAGAATTGTGGATTCTCCAGCAGTCACAATTTGCTTTGCTATATTTTCATAATGCAATAACCACATGTTTAATATGAATAAAATATGACTAAAAATCATGCGTTGCTCTTGGAAAAAGATGAGTTTTCGACTTGCCTCTAATATAATAAACCAGTGTACTTTCTACTGTAAGATCCAAGGTCATATTTAACGACCCAAAGCTGCACAGCAGAGATGTAAGTAAATTAGCCTATCATTTGTCTTAAAAATATTTCACATTGAGTAGCTCTGTGTAAACTAAATTAGATTCAAGGAAAACCCAGTTCATCTTCAGGCATTTTCGGGGAATGTGTAAATAGCACACAGCAGCTCTTTGCATCTGGCCTGCAGGCCTGGCCTGCCGCAGCCACACTGGGCCCAGCCTGGCCACCAGCCCTTCTGGGTGTCCCTGAAAATGTCCCACGCAAGGAATAGTGAGTGATTTATGAGATTTTTGGTAGCACATCAAAAGAATAAGCGGTTTTGAAGATAGAGGAACACAAAGAGAAGCTGATGTTTTCCTAAATGCAAATAGGATTTCAATTAGGTTATACAGTCCCCCTCCATTACAGCGATTGGAAGCAGATGCGTGAAACAAGGAATGTCCTTATCTCAAATTTAAATAATCAGAAAACACAGATAAAGGGACTTTTCAGTAGTGCAGTACAAGGACAACCTGTGGGAAAGACATGAACATTCATTAAAATTCTCTCTATGAACCAGAAACCTGTCTGCTTGCTCATGTAACTCTTACAATACTTTTATAAAGCAGGGATTTTTATCCTCATATTACAAATGAAAAACAATGGATAGAGAGTCAAAGTAGGCTGTTTACATTAACTAAAATACTTTATTTACCTAAAATAATTAAATGTAAAGCCAGGTGTGGTGTCACGCGCCTGTAATCCCAGCACTCAGGAGGCAGAGGCAGGAGAATCACTGCAAGTTCAAGGCCAGCCTGGGCTAGTAGTGAGTTCAGGGCCAGCCTGAACTATAAAGCCAGACTGTCTCAAAAAAACCAAAAAACAAACAAATTAAATGTATAGCTAATAGGCATATATGACGATGAACTAATATGTAACTAATAACAAATAGGACTGTATTAGTAATAGTACAGAGTTGCCAATACATAGCTGTACTATAATGATATAAATATTTACATATGGTATCAGCAATTATAAAGCTAATTATATTCACAATAGAGCTACAACACACCTTAGCAATCACCTGGTCTAACTGCTTTTATGTGAACACTTACTTGACAAACAGTACGACACACCACATACAGCACCACTCCTCAGCTCTGAGAAGGATGGATGAGTTGGAAGATTACTGGATATCGGCAGCACAAGTCTTGGGAGGGGCAGCAGTTGGAAGATAACTTGGTGCAACCAGTGGACAAACAGCATTGTCCTCTTTGGGGACCTGGTGTAGCTTGGATCTAGACGTCCTCCATGGGCCTGTGTCAACGGCGGGGCTTTGGAAGGTGACTGGATGACGCAGCTGACCCGCTGTTGGAAGTGGGGCCTCCTTGGGAACCCAGGGGTGTGGCCTGGACATGTGTCTCTGTCTGCTTCTCCCTCCTCTCTCTGCTTGCTGACCCCATGGCCTGGGCAGCCCTCCCCATGGCAGGCCCTTCCATTGTGCCATTTCTGTGTGTGAGCCCCAATCACTCGCTGAAACTTCTGCAACTGTGAACCTCCTCTAAGTTGTGGGTGTCGGGTATGATGTACCAGCAACAAGGAAAATGACTGAGACAAAACCCCAGGCTACGGCCCATCCTGTCCAAGGCTGGACAACTGGTCCTTGGAGCCAGATCTGCATCGCCTCCCAAGTGCAGCGTGGGAAAGATACAACTGTCCATCAGCAGCAAATGGGTAAACTGAGAGCACAGAGGCGTGAAAGGTATAGTGTCCAGCCAGGAGCAGGGATGAACCATGTACAAAGAGGCGGGGGCATTCGGCCTCCAAAGAGCAGTGTGCAAAAGACACCAGAAACGACAGTGTGTACAAGGTGTGATCAAAAGCTGTGGCCAGTGTTTAAAAGTTTTTAAACACTTATTACAGTAAAAGACACATTGCCGTGAATCCCCCTCAAAATCCCCTGCCTCACTTTGAGCACACTCATCCCCTCATCCTCACCACTCTCTGCAGCAGCTCTGGAGTGCCCTTTCCTGAGGGTCTTTAGTTGCACTGTTGTGGCTGCCTGGATGTCCTGAGTTGATCCAAAATGTCTCTTCTTTAGGGTCATGTTGACTGTGGGGAGGAGCCAGGAGTCGAATGGTGCCAGCTCCGGTGAATTAGGTGGATGAGGACTCAGTGGCGTGTTTTTATGAGCTGCCTTTCCATTGGATGGCGCTGGACAGCACCATTTGCCGTATTTATGATCACACATCGTAAAGACACTCAGGAAAGAGGACTCCACAGCTGCTTCAGAAAGTGGCAAGAGTAATGGGGGAGGATTTGTCTTTTACTGTAATAAGTTCTTTTTCATTTAAACATTCACTGTGTATTTTGATCACACCTCATAACTAAGAATGTGCTTGTCACACACAATTCCCCAATAAGCTAAAGCTTAACTATGCAAGGACACATGAGAAGACAGCAAACCACAAAACACGCACACACAAGAGTGTATCCCCCAAATCCGAGCAGAGGTTGCTGCTGGGCAGAGTTGGGGGGCGATGCTGAGAAGAAATGTTTTGAGGGCTTCCTGGATGAACTGCAGGTCTTGTGTGTCTGCACTGTGGGGCGTTGTTTCACAATAAACGCCTGACAAAGCAGTCACCCCCACACGTACACACACGTACACACACACATGCACCTACCGTCCTGTGGTTGTCTGTGGACGGAGCTCTTATGTGGGATTTCCACTTTCCCTTCCTGATTTTGGAGTTTCTGAGCTTCCACAGTAAACACTTTATACGCAGTGAACTGAAGAGTCGCCGCAGTGTGAGTCCCGGGCTGGGTTGTCTCGGAGGAGGCTGGGAGGGGAGCCAGCATTCCAGGCCAGGATTTATCACTTGGGCCAGACTAACAGCCTGCAACCACCTAGCGTCTTCTCCTGGAGGCCTCCATGTGGGGCGGCTTGGGAATGTCCTCCGGGTTTTCACAGCCCAGCCAGGCACTGCCCTGGACGTCCTGGGGCTGCAGAATGCAGCCCCCTCTGCTTCTCCTCGAGCCCCCTTTCTGGTTGTGTGGAATCCTTGCAGGATGGCGCCTGACCCAGCCCCAGCTTCCAGGGGTCCCTGAGACGCGTCCCTTCCTTCTCCCAGCTCACAAACGTGGACATGGTGTGAGTAGAAGCTTCCGCCTGCTGTGACATCCGGGGATGCCTGGGCCACGCCGAGGGCCACCACCAGGCTTAGGTCCCAGGCAAGGAGGATGGAAGATGAGACACTGAGGCCCAGCTTTTCTCCACAGCAAACGGAAGCTTCTAAGAGCAGCATTAGTGGGGCAGAGTGGTGTATGCACGCACGGAATCCCAGCACTTGGGAAGCTGAGGCAGGAGGATTGCAATTTGGAGCCCAGCTTGGGCAACTTAGCAATTTAGCAAGACCCTGTCTTGGATTTAATAAAAGAATAATAATAAAAGGTTTGAGGATGTGCAAAGGCTCTAGGTTTGATTCCCAGAGCCAAAAAAGAAAAGAAAAAAAATTTTTTAAAACAGTAACATCAAAAACTAAGCCTCTGACACTAGATTCTTAAAATTGTGATTTAATCATCCTGGTAATAAGTCTCATAGACTGGGGAGCAACGAACCACACGTTTCGCAATGGAAGCCATGGGTTAAGACCTGCTGAGTAGCAGCCTCTGCTAAGCGCTCTGAGTCACACACCGACAGCCAGAGGATGGCACTGATTTCCACACGGAATCATAAAATTCTGGGGCACTGTGTGCTTTGGCTGGAGTCTGCGGACGTGCAACACGTCCTAAATATTTTCCAATGACCCGTAGGGTCAAGAAGAAATCAAAAAGGAAATGCGTTCTGAGTCGAAGACCATTAAGAGCTCAGAGTGGAGTGGGCATGGTGGTGCACGCCTGTCCTCCCAGCACTGGGGAGGCTGAGGCAGGAGGATTATCAAGAGTTTGAGGCCAGCCTGATCTACATAGTGAGACCCTGTCTCAAGAAGCAAAAGCAAAAACAAAATAACCTCTTGGAAAGTGACAGGGGGAAATTAGATGACCCTTGTTATTAGGATGACTTTTTAGATGCAAAACCATCCATGATCCATGAGAAGAAAGAAATGATAATTTAGACATTAATTATTAAAATACAATATAATTATTAAAAGTTCTGCTCTGTAAAAGACACAGCAAAGTGAATGAAAAGACAGACTGGAAGGAAATATTTGGCGTTTTGTTTTGTTTTCTGTTTTTTTGAGACAGAGTCTTGCTTTGTAGTTCCAGCTGGCCTTGAACTTACTGTGTAGTCCAGACTGGCCTCAAACTCTTGGTGATCCTCCTGCCTTGGCCTCCCAGGTGCTGGGATTACAGGAGTGCACCATCATACCCTGCTGGAAGAAAATATTTGTAAAAACACATATCTGACAAAGGACTGATAGGCATAATAGACAGAGAATTCTTAAAATTCAACAATAAGAAAACAATAACCCAATTAAAATGAGCAAAAAAACGCCCAGTTGCAGGGTTTGTAGCTCAGTGGTGCCACACCTGCCTGGCAAGCGTAAGGTCCTGAGTTTGATCCCCAGTACCAGGGGAAAAAATGCCCAGTAGAGTGGTAAATGCTTATAATCTCAGCTCCACAGGAGGCTGAGGCAGGATTGCAAGTTCAAGGCCAGTCTGGTCAGCTTAGCATGATTCTGTCTCAAAACAGAAAATAAGAAGAGTTAGGAGGTAGCTCAGCAGTTGAGTTTGCCAAACATGTACAAGGCCCTGGGTTTTATCCCCAGAATAGAAAAAAAAAAAAAAATCCTCAGAAAAACAAAAGAAAAGAAGGAAAAGAAAACAAACGGTGGTCAGGCCAAAGCTCTGCACAGGCAGGCACCTCCCCGGGAAGAGATGCAATCTCGGTAAGTAGAGAAAAAAAGCTGACCACCCTAAGTCATCAGGGGCTGGTAAGTTAAAACAGCAATGTGACTCCTGCACTCCTGCTAGGACAGCGAAAAGCAGTCACTGGTGCTCACAGTGCTGGGGTGAGAGGAGGCAGGAGTCAGTTCTCATCGCTGAACGAGGGACGCCGATCCCAAAGCTGCTATGTGTGGTCCTGACTACAGGCCCTTCTGAGAAAGGCAGAACCACGGAGTCAGTAAATGGACCATGGTTTCTAGGGTAATGAGCATGCAGCCCTGGGCCTGACGCCAACAGGGGAATGAGAGTAATGTGGAGCTCCAAAGAGGTGGAAGCAGCCAGGTGTGGTGGCCCCTGCCTGTCATCCCAGCACTCAGGAGGCTGAGGCAGGAGGGTCGCTGCGAGTTTGAGGCCAGCCTGGGCTACATGTGAGACCCTGTATCACAACAAACACAGAGGTTGGAGCATATTAGAGTTTTAAACTGCTGTTTAATTATTAATTCTACAAGGACAAGCGCAACGGCCCCAGCTCTGCAGATGTGGACTGACAGGAGGGAGAGACACACAGGTCTGGTGTATGAGATCAGGGGCCAAAGTCCCAGGACCTGAGACTGTGTGCCGGAAAGTGGCTGCATGGTTCCGTCCCAGTCCAAAGGCCCTGAGACTGGGCACGGATACCTCAGGGCAGGAGAAGGCGATGCCAGTCCAGAGAAAGGACTCTTCCTCCCCCTAAGTTGCTAAGTAGTGTCGGCTGGGCCTGAGCTTACGATCCCCCTGCCTCAGCCTCCCACAGGGCTAGGTTTACAGAGGTGTGCCACCCATCATGCCCTGCTTTCAGCTCTGCACTCCCTGCAGTTGTGTGGTGTCTCTCTCGGAGTGGACAGCCGGCCTCCCTCCCCCACATCTGGAGTACAAGCTTCTGGGCCAGCTGCGGACCCCTCGGGTATCTGCCTGTCCCCCGGGTCGGCCTGGGGAGCAGCCTCTGGGCCACTGGGGCCTCCTTTCTCGTCCTCCTGCAACCTCCAGGCCTCCCCTTGGACCCCAGGCCCTAGAACTGCAGGAAGGAGTCGCACTGTAACAGGGTGGAACTCTGGGCCCTCAGGAAGTGCCGGGAGCGAAGAGACTGCACGGACGGACTCCACCACCGAAGTGCTAAGAGGAAGCGTGGAGGTGCTGGGGGAGGGAGGAACGGGCACGGCCTCCACACCTTGCTGTCCCTCAGCGCAGTCCCGGTCCACGCCCACCCCCTACTCCTGCTGGGAGTGACAGACGGGCGGTGAGGTCTCCTTCACCCTCTCGCCCCCCTTCACTCTGCTTTTCCGGTGAGAGGCGGCCACCGCCAGGTCTCTCTGGGGTCCTGGGCCTCCGAGGGCGGGCGCTCTTTTGATGCATGCTGCCTTGTTTGTTTGAACACCGCCCCCAGAGGCCCATAGGACCAGCCGGGTGGCCCAGGTCTTTCAAGCCAAATGCTGAGCGGACCTGTCAGACCCTGATAATCAGCGGGTATTGCTGCTCCTGAAGAGAGCTGTCACATGTCACTCAGCACCAGTGGGGCGTCCGCTGCCGCCTGCGTTTCTGTCCCCAGGTGGGATTGGTATCCAGTTTCCCTCCGTGAGATCCTGGGCCAATGGGACCTTTGTCTTGCACGGGATGAGCTGAGTATTTTCTTGGAGAAACAATTAGAACCCGAATGTCAGAGGGTACGGTTTGGCTACAGGAAGACCGGCAAATAATCAATCCCAGGGCTGGGGGAAAAGTACCGAGAGTTTTACGGTCCTTCCACAGCCAGGCTGAGTTTTCTTCTTAGCTTTTATTTGGAGATCACTAGGGACCCACGGGAATCGATGCACTGAGAGCGGCAAGGTCCCAAGCACGTGTGGTCCGTCTGCACAGTGGTCGCTGTCCCCGGCTCTGGCCCCGGCCATTGTGGGCGTGCGGTTGGGACAGGACAGGTCCCGCACTGAGGAGGGCGCCCTCCCTGCTGCCACTGCCTGCTCTTCTCAGACCCCTCTCCCCAAACCCTGGATCAGGCTCTGACCCTCTCCGCCCTGGCCAGGGTCCTGGGGCACCGTCACTCAGTGAGACCGGGATCGGCACAGCCCAGGGCTCCCAGCCACCTCTCGGGACCCCAGGCCCCTCTAAGCCAGGCGGCGCCCTAGGCTCTGCACCCACCCGGGGTCCACATTGCTCACCAGCGCCCCGGGCTCTGCACCCACCCAGGGTCCCTACTGCTCACCAGTGCCCTGGGCTCTGCGCCCACCCGGGGTCCCTACTGCTCACCAGCGCCAGCGCTAAGCTACTCACCCTTGCCATTGCCACACTCCCAGCCTCACTCTGGCGGACTCCGGTCCTCTGTCTCTGTCCCCAGGGCCCTGCCACCTCTCCTCCCTGGCCTGGCGCCCTGGCAGAAAGGAAAAGCTTTCTTCCCCACTCACTTCACAAGTTCCGGGCACCCATCTGATGGTTCCTGTGCCCCCAAACTCTGGGACAAAGAAAATGGTTAAAATAGGTGTGCTGGTGCAGGCCTGTCAGCCCAGCACTCTAGAGGCTGAGGCAGGAGGATCACAAGTTCCAGCCCAGCCTGGGCAACTTAGTAATTTAGTGAGCCTCTGTCTCAAAAGAAAAAAATAAAAATAGAGCTGAGGATATAGGTCAGTGCAAAGGCTCTGGGTTCAATCCTTGGTACAGGACAAAAAACAAAAGGGTGCACACAATGGGAAAAGGAAGTGACTGTGAATTCCACCTAAGGAGAAGTTCTAGCCTTAATGAAACTGTGACAGGTGGACGTGTAGTGCGCCTGCCCAGAGCCGCTGGGCAGACAGAGCCAAGTCCCCTTCCAGTGGCAGCGAGGTGGAGTGTCTCCTGCAGACCCCCAGCCTTTTGAGCTGTCCGGTGCTTCCAGGCAGGGGTCAGCTGAACTGCCTGCCCTGCCGTGGCAGGAAAGCAGCGTGGCCTCCTGCCCCGTGTGCCACAGAACGGCTGGGTAGGCAGGTGGGGATTTTCCTTAAGCCTCACCACAGTCAGCTGCTTCTGAGCGCTTCTTCCGTCAGAGCTTCCCCACCCTGGACCTCAGACTTGCACCTGCCACCGCTCGGCCCTGGAAGGCCATCGTGCGTAGGGTCACCCGCGCCGGCCCCAGGGGCAGAGCCAAGGGGCTATGTCCGTGCTCCAGTCCTGCCCTGGGGGCTCTGCTTGGGCACCACGGCCCTGGGTCATGGCCTGCAGTCCCAGGTGCTCTGCCCTTGCGACCCTCAGTGACTGCAGGAAGGAGCAGCCCACTGGTCACCCTCTAGCCGAAAGGGGGCAGGGGACCCCTCCGCCCTGGGGACTCCAGGGTCAGCTCCCCCGGGGCTTGGGCTCTGGGCAGTAGAGTGCGAAGGTGAAGACACCAGAACTCACTATGTAGCCCAGACTCGGCTCGACCTTGCAGTGATCCTCCTGTCTCAGCCTTTCAGGTGCTGGGATGACAGGCGTGCACCACCGCGCCAGTCACTGTATCTTTAGTAACATCTGAGAGACTCTCTGGAGAGAGCTCCAGACCTCCTTCAAAAAGCGAGAAGAATGAGAAGTGGTTAGAAGTCGGAGGAGGATGTTGAAGGGCGTTAATGCCAGCGTGTTTTTTACTGTGATAAAATTTTAAATTGTAAACATTCACCATGTTTTTGCCCACACCCCACGACACAGCTCCAACCCCTCCCTGGAGGCTGGCAGGAAATTCAGCCTGGCCGAGGCCTGGGAGAGGGTCTAAACCTGACAAGTCACCAGTTGTGCAGGAGGGAACACACCTGCGTCCTCCGGCCAGGGCCGCCCAAGCCACCTCTGTCCTCACGCTGGGCCATGGTGCTGCTTAGTGGGTGCATCCACATCGGACAGCCAGCCCACCCTGCCCAGCCCACACCAGGCGGAGCTGGGTCCCGGGCCAGTCCTGACCCCAGCTCCTCCTCCTGGCTGCCCAGACCCCTAGATGCCCTTCGTGGGCTCAGGCCACTGTCCCCAGGGCCCAGTGGGCTTGGTCCTGCTTCCAGCACTGCCAGAGTCTGGGCCAAGGGCAGGATGGAGGGAGCCGGAGCCCCTGAGGCAGGGAGCAAGGCGGGGTGGTGGGGCCCGGGGCTCCCACAGCCCCATCATTGGTGGCCCAGTGTATTTTAGGGACCCAAGGTTCCACCTGCCTCGAGAGCTCCAGGCCTCAGGCCGGGCGGCTCATGGGACCTCTGGGCCATGGCTTATTCTAACTTTTATTTATTTATTTATTTATTTATTTATTTTTCATTTTTTTTTTTCCCCATTAAGTTTATTGGTACATTTTAGGTATACAATACAGTTACATTCCTCACTGGGAACTTGTACCATTACATGATGTATCTTTATTCTTATTTTTTCCCCATTTCCCTGCCCTCCCTTCAACCCCTCCACCACTCCCTATTTACAGAAACTTTGTTTCCACTTTTTCCTTTCCCCTACCCCTCCCACTTCCCCTACCAAACTCTTCATTATCTAGATGTTCACCTAAGATATCTTCTAGGAATTTGATAATATTTCATATTGCATTTAGATCTGTGATTCATTGTGCATTAATTTTTTGTGAATGGTGTAGTTTGTATCTAGATGCCTTGCTCTGCAGTGGATATCTAATTGGTCCAGCATTACTTGTTGAAAAGACTACCTTACTCTGTGGTATTGTCTTTACTCTTTTTTTCAGACATACATAAATGAACCATATCTATGTAAACCTATTTATTTTCTTTTTAAAATTAATTTTATTGGT